TTTCAAAAAATATTTCAGCTAATAACAAATGAAGCAACATTTCAATGATCATATTATAATGAAATGGAGAAAAAAATAAATCTATAATTTTTCTTTTTACTATATCTTATTTTCACTTTTTAAAAAAAGAAAACAAGAGAAATTCAATTTGTTTTTGTTTGCTATACATAATATTACATATTATTAGAACTCTTTTTGGAAAGAAAGAAATATATTTATTGACAAAAATATCATAGAATATCAATTAAAAAAAGAAAGTACTTGTATTGAATAATCTATAGTATACATATATATATATAATAAAATTTACAGTACAATTTGTTATGAAATCATGATAATTAAATAAGAGATTATTTTTAATTATATTATACATTATTAATCTTCTTGTCAAATCAAAATATAAATAGAAGATATTCTAAAGTCAAATAAGATAAATAAAGAATTAGATATTTCTGATGAAAAACTATTTAGATTTCTTATTATAGCAAATTTAATGAAACATACAATAACGAATAAAAGATATATTAAAGTAAAAATAAAGCAAATTTATATTTGATTGTATATCATTATATTAACTTTAACTTTGTTAACAATTAAAGAAGATAAAAGAAAAAAACAAGTTCATTTGAGAAAAATAATATTTGATGAAATATCTAACTAATTAAAATTTCTTAATTGAAATCTATATAAATGAAATATGTTCTTTGATGTGTGTGTATTAATTATATTTAATTTCTTTATTATTATTTTTTCTTTAGGTCTTGTTAAACATCTTTTTGGTACATATAAAATAAAATATCATATTCATGGACCTGATCATGAACCTGTTGAAATTGATTTTACACCACCATACAAATGTATTTCTTTGCTTAGTGCATTAGAAGAATCTCTTGGTAAAGAAGATAAATTTCCATTAGCTAATGAACTTGCTACAGATGGTAAAAAAAATTAGAAAAAAATGAAATCAACAATACTTAATAAATTTTTTTTAAATTTCTTTTATAGAAGCAAACAAATTTTTTGATAATCTTAATAAATAAAATCATGTTGAATGTACTAATCCAAGAACAACAGATAGATTAATTGATAAAGTAATTATAACATAGTAAAAAAAAGTCAATAGATTTTTTTATTATAGATATTAGTCATCATATCATTTTTCTTTCGAAATCTTCTTTAACTCAGTAGAAGAAATAGAATGAACAAAAATAAAAGAAATCTATGATTGAATAAAATGCTTTAAATTGAACATAAATCAGAAGGCTACGACTTTCATATTAAACTAAATGTTGAAGTTATTGTCTTCTGAATATGTATCATATTTTTACAATTACTTTAATTTTTAACTAAAAGAATATAGTTCATCGAATATATCAAAGAAACTATTGAAAATTATATGGTCTTAGTTGCGCAATACCAAAAGCTTTTGTGGTCTTTAGTGAGACTAACACTAAAGAGTTTTCTATATCGATTGAACGATGTCACGAAAACAGCCTAAGTTCATATTATAGTTTCTGAAACATCAAGGCACTAGAATTAGTAATAAAATTTTTGAATATGCTCACAAGTAGAAACAACCGATCGATTTCTCCAAATCGATCTGTCAAGTATTTCACACACACACACCCACAAGATAATCTTCGCTCTCTAACAGTATTAATAAACGATATCCCACTCGAGTGTCTAAGCGACTTTAAATACATTGAATACACTTAGACTAGTAAGTTCTTCATGCACAAAACTGAAATAATTGAAATGCAGCAAAGTAATCTTCACCAATGTATTGTTTTTTTCTCTTTTTGTCCTGCAAATTTCACTAGAACTGTTTAGGCAAAAAGAAAACAAATATAAATCTTTGTTAGAAATATGATTAATATTTACTGAAAATAATAAAACAAATGAATGATAGCAACCAGAGACGAGAACAGGACAGGACAATGCCGCTGTCCTGGTGTCCTGCCTTGCCCTGTCCTGTTCTGTCCTGTGAGTGGCAGGACGGGATGTTCGCAGGACAGGACAGAGCAGACAGCTTCGTCCTGCATTTTTATATGTAGTTTTGGTTGAATTTTTAAAAACTTTTGCTTAAATATTATATTACTTG